GTGTGTCCGAATATTAAATCGTACGGTGTGAAACCTGTTATTTTGTTTCTTGTATTATTATAACAAATAACTACATATGGTAAAACGTTCAAGGGGTGTTCATCGGGGTTTTCCACTTTATGGGCGCGAATCATTTCAGCAAATGTTGCGTGGAATCTTTCGATTGATTAGTTCAATTGTGGGTGATTCACACTCGAATATGTATATGCTTGTGTGAATTTAGTCAGTTCGTCTCTTATTGTCAAGGCGTAGTATTTTGTGGAAATTTCGAAAATTTCTACATTGATGCGTTCAAAAGGGGTTTTTGGTATTTCGGTTATGACAAGAGGTGTGCTAAAGTTTTTTCGACCATTTTTGATTTTTTGACAAATTTCGCATTTTTTCACGAAATTTACGACATCTTTAATGAGACCTTGCCAGTTGTATTTCTGTTTCACTCTTCTGATGGTTTCTTTAGTTCTCTTTAGGTTTTGATAGACTTTCAATTTGATTTCTTTATCGGCAAAAATGAATGAAAATATTTCTAATATGGGTAGTTAAGTTATTTTCAATTGAAAACGTTTTTCTAAGATAGAACTCGTTTTGGGATTTATAAATAATATAGAACATGTGTTCTATGACAGATTCAGGATCAAATAGATAGATAGATAGATATTTCATTCATGTCATTACACAGAAGTGCATTCACATACGTCAGATATAGATTCAAAAAGTAAAAATATATAAATGTAAAATATCACAGTGAACAATTAAATGTATCACAATTTGTCAAATAATAGAACATATATAGACACACTATGTACATATGTCTTGTAAATAAATATCTTCCTTACGAATATAACATAGACCTAACAGACAATAATCATTAATAAAAAATAATTACATATAAAAATGGTTTGGTGGTGCAGTCAGGAAACGACTGAGTCGTCTCCTCAAGAGCGGGTTACCTTATAAAACCGTCTTGCACCAAATTCTTGAGCGGCGTACGCAGAATCTGTCTCAGGTTCAAATCTGTTTTTCTGTTAATCAGCTGTTGCGACCATAAGAACGACAACTCTCAGAAGGTGGGGGAACAAATCCTCCCATGAGGAGGTTAGCAAACGGTTGCACTCAAGTGATGATTCACCAAAACCAGAGGCGTGAAAGCCCTGCACGGCTGAATCTGAGGCATCGTTAGGTGTAGCTGACGTGTAAAAACCCTCATATGGGAAGGTTGTCGTGGGTATCAAGGTGGGATTCTTGCAACTTGACTATCCGACTACCTCATTAACAGAGCATATACTTTGTGCCTGCCCCGCTGCGGACCGAATCAGGTCTTTAGAGTTCGGCAGAGCTGTACTCTTACCATCTGACCTGAAAGACCACTCAACATACAAACTAGTCGGCTTCATTAAGAAGCTGGGTTTATCTGGCCGAGTGTGAATAGATGTGAGCCGCAATAAACCACTATTATTGTTATAACAGACGGCGAGCTTTATAAAATGATCATACGATGATGATTGAGAAAGAAAATATTTGACTCAATAGCCAAATACTCACAGGTACGAACTTTCAATTGTAAAATATTGTCAATGCTGAAACAATTATTATTGGTACTGAGAGGTGTGTATATGTACCTTCACTCGCATTGAATTATGCCTGCTTTGACTGACAGGTACTGAAATATAATCTACTTGAAAAATAAATCATTTTCATCATTCATTTCAACTGAAAATATTGACTGACAATCTCAGCCAAGCATTAAAATATAGTTCTCAGATTGATTCATTTCTATTGCACTGACACTTATTTAATGGCATAAATGCTAGTGAAGTAAAAGCTAGTACTGATACATATGATGGTTTTCATAGAAATTAACGTTATTCTGGATTCATAATCATCAAGGGAGTTGGTATTCGTTTTCAAAATGTGAGGTCGATAAGGAATCTAATTCATAAATGTATGTTAATTAACTATAACACACTATAAACACTGACAACACTGTCCTGAAAAAAGTTAGTCGATTGAGAAGATATATAAGTAATTAAATTTATATTTATACAGAAAAATTGAGTTCCTTCACTTTGAAGTTTGAGTTGGATATCACTTCCCACCTTCGAGATTATTCAACAGGAATCTTATACTTTCAACATGCATCATTGTCACACTGGGATGTCCACATGTCTCCAACCATTGGAGATATTTCTTTCCGTGATCTAATGCTTCTTCAAGATTGATGTCTTCATCCATGGGCTCTTTCTTGACCGCAATATTGTTAGGATGTACTATTTGCTCATCATCCACAATCGATGAATTCCCAACTTGATTTGCCTGGATATAAGAAATTTCCTTCGTGTCCTGCTTGTAAGTAGGATGAGCAGCCCCATTTTCACCTTGTGAAGCAGCTAAACTGATCTGCTGCCTCATCTGCATCATTTGATTGAAATCGTGTCTTGCAGTCAGTCTGGGGAACATATTTTGGCCTTCCTCCTGTAGTTTTCTACTTTTACACCACCCTCTTATGGTAGACTCAGGGACATTTAATTCTCTAGCCACGGAAGCTTTCGTCTCACCTTCTTGTATTCTTGCAACAGCGATCAACTTCATGTCTCATGAATATCTGCGTGACATTTCGACAGCTTCTTTCCGTTTTTATCAAAGTGGCAAACTATACGATGACTATCGCAGACAATATGACCATCAATTGGGTTACGCTTCTGTCTTAATAACAACAAATCACTCAGAACGGACTGCCGACTGAATCCATCAATCACGGTAGGCGAGGTTGTGGTGCCAGGTAAAAATTTTGTACCTACTGACCAAACATGTGAAATGTAATGAATAGTAATGTTGCCAACCTAAACTTGATGTAATGTGTGGGACCCCTATGTACAATTCATTTTTCACAGGTACCTATTTCAAAATTCGAGATTTAAAATGGGTGAACATTAAGGAATCCCATATTTTATTCTCGGCATCCTATTCGTTCTAAAAAAAAAACGAAATTTTCAACTTCCTTTTTGAGTCTTTAGGTTCTAGTGCTAAGTTTTGTTCACATCCAAGGAACAAAATGATTTGTTATTTTTGAATATTCTTTGGAAACTGATACAGATTATGGAATATACTCACAGAAAGAAAAATGCCTGAAATTCATGAGTCTTCTTACTCTTGTAATGTTTTTAAAGGTAATAAATTACTTACTTTGAATGGGATTTATATTTATGTTCGTGTTATTTTCGTGTATAACAATAAAGGAAAATTCATCATTCATAAAAACATTCACGAGTACTTTTCTTCTTTTCCTTGGAGGTTTTTGTATTGTTCAAATTATCAAGGTGGCTAAAAAGATCTGCCAAAAATGCTAATTTCAAGAGCCAAATAGATCAAAAAAACGATTAACATATTTAGATTTTGCATCTTGTAAAAACATTAACAATTCAGCACTCATTTCATTTAAATCTTGTTAAATGTTTTTTTTTTGGATAGCCACCCGACCTATGTGTGATAAAGGAGATTTTGATGAAGCGAGCCCATATCTTCACAAACGATTCTAAATAATCGGGTTTGCAAGGCTTTGCCTTTAATAGAATTCACAATTTTTATTAACTCCGTGAGCACGTCATTTAAATCAGAAGGTATCATCTTAGCAGCTAGAGCCTTTCGATGAAGAAAACAGTGTGTCCAGGATACATTTGGCGTTATCGATGAGTCCGCTATTTTTGCCAGTCATAGCTTTAACGCCATCGCTACAACTAGCAATACATTTTTTCCAATCAATATCGTAGTCGCAAGTGCTTTCTAAAATTATATCCTACAAACACTGTTACATAGCACTTTTTTCTTAATTTATCAATTACTCTCTTCACAAGCTCTAGAGCTGGAGTTTCATTGACCCACAATATTCAATAAATTTTTCTCTTTCCATTGATACCATTTTCATAGAAATCTGAACGCTCAGTTTTGTGAAATTGAATAAAAACTGTGATTTTCCATAAGGCTCAACGTTGAAGGTATTTTTTTTTAAATATTAATATCTTTTCTCCAATTCTCTGTAGGCTTCTAAAAACTTAACTGGTTAATTATGATATAATTATGTACCAATATGCCAGGTTTCTTTGAATTCTGCACGCTAATTCTAAAACTGATCACCTATTTAAAATCTTGAATTTGGAAATATAGGAAATATAGAGTTTCCACACTTTACATAAAGTTTAGGTTAGCAACATTACTATTCATTACATTTCACATGTTTGGCCAGTACAACATTTTTACCTGTCACCACAACCCCGCCTACCGGGGTTGTTGTGACAAGTAAATTACCTGAGTAATTTGTTGTTATAAATACAGAAGCGTAACCCAATTGGTGGTCATTTTGTCTGCGATAGTCATCGTATAGTTTGCCACTTTGATAAAAACGGAAAGAAGCTATTAAAATGTCGCGCAGATATTCAAGAGACATGAAGTTGAGAGCTCTTGCTAGAATACAAGAAGGTGAGACGAAAGCCTCCGTGGCTAGAGAATTAAATGTCCCTGAGTCTACCATAAGGGGGTGGTGTAAAAGTAAAAAACTGCAGGAGCAAGGCCAAAACATGTACCCCAGACTAACTGCAAGACACGATTTCAATGAAATGATGCAGATGAGGCAGCAGATCAGCTTAGCTGCTTCACAAGATGAAAAAAGGGCTGTTCATCGTACGTACAAGCAGGACAAGAAGGAAATTTCTTATACCCAGGCAAATCAAGTTGGGAATTCATCGATTATGGATGACGAGCAAATAGTACATCCTATCAACATCGCGGTCAAGAAAGAGCCCATGGACGAAGACATCGACCTTGAAGAAGCGTTAGATCATGGAAAGAAATATCTCCAATGGTTGGAGACATGTGGACATCCCAGTGTGACAATGATGCATGTTGAAAGTATAAGATTGCTGTTGAATAATCTTAAAGCTAGAAAGTGACATACAAGTCAAACTTGAAATTGAGGGAACCTAACTTTTCTGAATGGTATATCTGAATGGTAATAGCTACTAATTTTTTAATAAACATACATTTATGAATAAGATTCGATTAATTCAACCAGTGTTCCTTGATGAATATAAATCCAAAATGATTTTCATTTCTGTGAAAGTAAATATATATGCAGGGTGGCCCACCACATTCGCCTCGGTATTTCTACGAGAAATGAAGAGAGTTAGGGAAAAACATTCGGCACAGTTATATGTGGGTCGATGAGAAGCATATTACAAAATCATTTTGAAATATATAGGGTGACTCTCAAAAAAGGTACATACCAATGTTATATTTTTTCTTATGGAACACCCTATTTTTCTCATATTTATAGATACTATAGACAAAATAAAGGTGAGTTATTATTATATTTCCCATACTCAAACTGACCGTTTCTGAGAAATTTTAAAATACTGACAATAATTTAAAAATTGTTTTCACCCTGTGTAACGTGTAACGAGCGGCTCGTGATTAAATGTACTGCTTAGCTCAAAGGTTAAGGTTAACTATCACATGAAGTTTTTAATGCAATATTATTCGCAGTGGCGAACAAAGTTACATCAAAATTTGGACACACATTCAATTAAATAACTTCTTAAAGTTGATTGGAACACCCCGTATTTAGTGGTGTAATTCGACGCAGAAGTGGATACCCTTCAAATCTATATTAGGGTTCCCTATACCTATCTCGTCTGATTTTTATACAAAATGCGTTTTTATATTTTACTTTTGAATATTTTTTTTATCTTCATAATAAAAACACGCTGTTTGTAATGTAAAGCAAAGAAGCATTTTTGAAGTCATTATATCGAAAACTTAAGAATCTTAAATAGTTTATTACTAAATCACAATTCAATGTTCTACAATCTGTTAACAAATTTGAAATATATCAGAAGGAAGGGATAAAATAAATGAAATATCAAAAATTTTTAATTACTGGCTTCGAAATATGCTGCGAAAATCCAAAATATAAGCTGATTTGTGGAGAAAACAAATTATCAATAATGAAATATATTACGTTACTATATTCTATAATCTGCCTTATCATATTTAGATTGAGGTAATTTGCTGAGATGCATTCTTGGTGACAAGTGTTTTCCAGCATTGAATGTATCAGATACTATTATCGATTTGATATCGGCATACATCGTCGTTAAAATATAACAAACCAGTACCGATCCTTGAGGAATCCCGAGGTTGGAAGTAACGACATTTAAAACATGGCCGTCGACGGTAACATATTGTTTTCTTCAAGGCAGGTAGTCTGAACAGTATCCTCAAGGATATTTGGTTGGAAAATTGTTTGGTTTTGACTGAACCCATTTTTGACATAAATTCCACTATAACTTCTGAACCACCCGGTGTAAACTCGAGCAATTCTATATTTTTGAAAGTCATTCCGCTCAAGAAATTCAATCGAGAAGTATATTCAAAAAAACTTTGTTCTGTCACAAATTTATTGGACAGTATTAAATATTGAAACATAGCTTTTATTAATCTACATAACCTTTTCTCGAAACATTTTTCTGTATCTCTAATAGACAAGAAGCTATTATAATGATTAACAAGAACAACAAACATTATTTTTCTATTGAAAATATTGGGGGTTGTACCTGTCATTTAACGGGGGTTGAAGATAGGGCTAGCATTTTTCTGTTGAAGTATGTCAAATTATGATTTAATTTCGACGTGTTTCGGGATTTTGTTGAAATATGTGAAGTAACCGAAATAATGAATTTATTCCATTCGGCTTTCACACACTGTATATATGTAGCAATAATAGTTATTTATTATACAAGGAAAAAAGTAATAGGTTTTAGCTCAAGGTTGTGCGGAAGCGGAGGGAGACAAAAAACTGAGAGCTAAAATCTAATTTTTTTCCCGAGTACCTATAATAAACAATTTTTGTCAGTGACGGGAAAAACGATATGGAAAAAAACATATTATTTTCTACACCCATATTCTTATATGACCATAATCCGTTTCATAATGATATCCATTATGATACAGATTTTTCATAACGATACAGATTATCAACCAATAGAAACCCATAATTTTTCAATCAAGAATCCTGTTCCTTTGTTTGTCCTAGATTCTAACCTAAGTAACTAATTGCTTTATTTGTCAAAATCAGTTTTCATATTACCTACCTATATTATCAAAATGTCTGAAAACAGCGATATAGAAGGAATACCATCGACTCCAATATTTTTAAAAGATCAGATTAATTACAGTTGTTATATTCAATATAAATATAATTAGAATCTTTATAGTTTTCATATATCCATGACAATACCATTAAGTTTGTGTTTTTTTAAAAAAATATGAGTTAATTACTGTAAATGTGTTCAATACAAATATAATATTTATATTTTTTCATTATTTATCGGGTTCAGAAAAAATAGCGTATGCAACTCTCATGTAATGGTTATTAAATACACTCGCGTATAACATACAAAACTCGCCTTCGGCTCGTTTCGTATCCCGGTTAATGCTCGTGTCTTAATAACCATCATTACATGATCGTTGCATAATATACTATTACAATATGTTAGTCAGAAAATCATCGATGTGAAATTTGAATGTTTAAACAGATAGGCTGTTGTACTTATAGCGTTGCTAGGAAACCATCAATAGAAAATCATATATCTGTCAATTTATTTCTTATTGTTTCAAGCATAGCCCATTGACTAATAAGAAAGTTATTTCTGTGATTTGATTTAAACATTGCGAACTTGGTAGTAGTTATTTTGAAAAATGTCTAATTCCGAGTTTTCTCTGACTCCACCGCGTATTAAAAATGCATGGAATGGAAGATGAAAAAGACATGCAGTTTTCTCGGAACTGGAAGCAATCAACAGTGTGGTCGAATTATTCAATGATTAAAAGTATCTTACAATCCAATAATAATGTAGACATTTCAAAATATTTCTGAAACGAAATGGGAAAGGTTACACGTCCAAGAAAGTTGCTATATTTACGAGTACACATATTAGTGACTTTTTAAATAATACTCCCGATGAAGTTTTTATTTAATGCCCAAGGTTGTTGTTGTATTTGAGATTGCAGGAGCTTGTCGAATTTGTGAAATCAGCCAGGTAACATTAGTTGATATTGAAGATTCGGGAACGTTATTAATTATGAAACTCAAGCAAACAAAGAATGATGTAAACAGGAGATTTGTAGTTACTGAAAAATATATTAAATTTTACCGAATGTACATAGCCCTTCGTCCAGCAGCAGCAAAGGATCGCCGCCTATTTTATGCATATCGCAATGGAAAATGTATCAATCAGGTAGCAGTGGGTAGCACTCAATTTTATAAGGTACCTGAAGCAGTGGCTAACTTTCTTCAAATTGAAAATGCCAATTCATATACAGGTCATTCATTTCGAAGATCGTCTGCTACACTTTTAGTTGAATCTGGGGGAGACTTGATGACACTAAAGAAACATGGCGGATGAGTCGGTAGCACACAGGACAGAAATAGCTAATAAATGAATGAATGAAAGTTTATTGACTACCTTACATTACATAATGTTTGTAGTAAGTCCAAATAATATCTAAAAAGAGTACAACACATAGAGAAACAAAATAANAGGGTGGTCGAGTGTACCAATTTAATCGAAATTAAACGACCTCATGCATTTATTTTTATGATATTTAGTATGTTATAAAAATATCCCTAGACTTTTCCGATGTGTGTATATATATCACTTTTCCCGGGGAAAAATGAATTTCATAAAAAGTGACATTTTGTCACCTGTCATCATAGATAAATTGTCAAACTTTTTTCCCGTCACAGAAAAAATGCATTTTTCGAAAATGTCCATGAAACTTTCAGCTAGTAAGGGGCTTTGAGGATTACCCATAGGAATTTGATTTCGCGATACACTTTATTTATAAATAACTTTTTTCCGTAACTGAAATTCGAAATTGTAAAACGGAAAAAGAGTCAGATATCATCTACACGTTATATTGCATTTCCAAAAACCTAAAAAACTCTGTATTTGTAAATAATGAGAGTTGGATAGCTGTGATAAAAACCAAACCCATCGAGTGTTTCTTTAATCAAAGAAATGATTGTTTCTAAGAGCTGTGATGTCCTGTATTCTTTTGCTTTATCAATGATATTATTTACAATCATTACAACCACCCCTCATCGTCCCCTTCATCTGAGATTACTTTAATTACGGCAATTCCTTCTCCGAATCCGTTTCGGACGCGGACGCATTTTCGGCTGCGTGAATACGGCGCCGAAACGGTCGACCCGCATCGCGGGGGGTGGACAACGAAGGGGCTCTTTAGGTCGCGGTCCGCGGTCCCTAACGGCTCGCCGGGGGTCGCGGGGAGTCTCGCGATTCTGGCTACTCGCCTCCCCGCTCGTCGCGCACCCCTTCACCAAGTAGTACACATCCTGGAGAACGACGAACCCTACTCGCACTATTCCGGTGGATTTAACGGGAGCTGAATTTCCAGCGGGTTTCAGGGTGGACGTTGTATAAATTGCCTCTCCGATAAAGTTCAACAACAAACTTTCATTTGTAACTGACTTAGTCGACAAGTGAACGTTAAGATTTGAAAAATTACATGTAATCCGGTCAATCTAGACATTGGAAGGTACATACATTTACAACAAGCTGCAAACGCGTGTAATTGTTCAAAACATAGTTAAAAATGAGATTTTAAAATTCCGAATGATTGCGATACCTGGAAAAAAAATTATTCGAGGTCAAAGGTCAAAAATCTCGAAAAAAATTGGTTTTTCGCGATTTTCAGGAAAACTGTAAGTTTTATCATGAAATAACTTCAAATAAAAATTGTAGATCATAAAATTCTCTACAAAAATGTATCAATACTCTTTTTCTTAGAGCCACCGTTTCTGAGATACGACGAGTCAAAAAGTTGTAAAAGTTGTAATCGTCATTACATGCACACGTATCCACGCCAC